AGGCTGGGATAGAATGTTGGCTTAGTATGCACAGAGCAATGATTTCCACCTCCCATGACACAGAACAAAAATAAAGCCAGAGGCACTGGAGAGATAGCTCAGTAGCTAACAGTACTACAGGTCCCAGGTTTGGTTCCCAGCACTGACATGGCAGTTAACAACTGTAACCCTAGTTCCAGGAGATCAGATGCCCTCTCTGGCCGCCAAAGGCACTGCACCACACATTACCAGTATGCTTATATACATGTAGGCAAAACATTAATGCACATAAAATAAATCAAAAAACAAAACAACCCTGTGATGGCTAATCCTAGGTGTCAATTTGATGGGATCTGGGATTAACTGAAATGAGAGATTTTCTTAATTGGATCATCTGAAGCTGGAAGACACGCCCTAAATGTGGGTGCTACCTTCTGATGGCAGCTTGTATAAAAAGCCATGGCAGAGGAGAACGCTGGGCTTTTTGCTGCTTGCCTTCTCTCTTACTGGTGAGTTCCTCTTGCTGCTGTAGACTGAAGACTAGCTGATCTTTTGGAATTCGTCAGACCTTCAGTGCCAGATTGGGACTACTGAGACATCCAGCCTCATGGACTGAGTGACTATGGATTCTCAACCTCTCCAGTGTGGTACAGCCATTGTTGGACTTCTTGGACTCTATCCTGTGAGCTAAGCTGATAAATCTCTATACATATATATTCATTCTACCAGTTCTGCTTCTATGGAGAACCCTAATACAAACCCAGAGACAAAAACACAAAAATGCCACACAGATACCTACAGTCAGCCCCACCTAACTGGTAGGCTGAAGTGGGAGAATCACTTGAGTTTAGGAGTTCAAACTAGCCTGGACAATTTAGCAAGACTTCATCTCAAAACTGCAAACAAACAGGGTGTGTGTGGTGTTTCAGGTCTGTAATTCTAAAATTAAGAAGGCTGAGGAAGTGGACTACAAAGTCAAGGACTCACCTTATCTCAAAAAAAAAGAGCTGGTGATATGGCTCAGTGGGTAAGGTGCTTGCTGTCAAACCTGTTAATTTAGTTTGATTCCCAGATGCCACATGATAGAGAATCAACTTCTTAAAAAAATATTTTATTATTTTTATTATTTTTTTATGTGTATTGCTTGCATGTAGGTAAGTGCACCCGTGTTGTGCAATGCCATCAGAGGACAGAAGAGGCTGTTAGATCTCCTGGAACTGGAGTTACAGTTGTTAGCTGCCATGTGGGTGCTGGGATTCGAACCCAGTTCTTCTGCAAGAACAGTGTTCTTAACTGCTGAGCCATCTCTCTAGCTCCAAGAATCAACTTTTACAAGTTGTCCTCTGGCTTCCATACACAGGCCATGGTAAGTGCACATTACACAAACAATTAAAAAAGTTAAAAAATAAAAAAACAACGCAAAAAACAAAAAATGAAAAAAACTACCAATACAGGAAGATCTAATTTCTCAATAGTCCTACTAACAGTGGCTATTAGTTCAAATTTGTCAGTTTAGTAAAACAAAACAAAAAAGCAAACAAAACCCAAAAAACCCTAGCCTTAAAGTTATATATCTTGACATATTACTAAGGTTGAATTTTTTCATATATAATTAGCATTTATAGTGTTCTGTGAAATTCTTACTTTACCCCTCCTACTTTTGTATGTTTTTTGGGAGATTTTTTCAGAGATAGTGTCTTGCTATTTTACTTGTTACACAGACTGACCTCAAACTTGTAAGTCTTTCTACTTTAGTCTCTGAGTGGCTGGGACCACAAAAATGTGCCACTGCACCCAGCTTCTTTGCCAATTAAAAAAAAAAAAAACAGTTTGTAGAGCCTGGCATGGTGGTGTACACCTTTAATGCCAGCACTAGGGAGGCAGAAGCATTCTCTCTCTTGAATATAGACGACGGGTGTGTGAGTGTGTGTGTCTGTGTGTGTGTGTGTGTGTCTGTGTGTGTATATGTGTGTTGATGAAGATTAAACCCAGGGACTTCTCATGCTAGGCAAGTGTTCTATCGCTGAGTATACTCATGGTTTATAGGCTCTTTCCTACTACATGAACTTCTGAACCTGCACATCATTGGGTTCCTTTTTAATTTGAATTTATCTGATGGAGTTTCTATTCCCTAAGTACCTAAACAACTCTGGAGAAGGCCTGAGATGACTACCAAAGGAAGTGATGCCTGAGTTAAGTCTTCTTAAAGAAAAAAGGCAAACTAGTTATGCTATTTCACAAAGAGAAAATAGCATAGTGAGGCACAATAAAACCGATGACTGCGTATTAGAAGCGATTGCCATCCAAGCACCAAGACCTGAGTCTGAATCCAGAGAATACATGTAAAGCCAGGCATGACAGTACCTGTCTACAATCCAGGAGAGATTGAAGGCTGAAATAGGAGAACCCCTGGAAGCTTACAGGCCAGTTAGCCTTGCATGTATACCTGCAAACAACAAGGCAGAAGTAGAAGACCAACACCTGAGGTTTTCCTCTGGCCTCCACAAACAGGCCATGGCATATATGTGTCCACACTCATGAACAGGAACATATATATCAACAGCCAACCACCACAACAACAGTAATACACCAGGTGTCTAAGCTCTTCTGATGGCTGATGCATGGGACTCAAGATTAAGAAAAGCAGGGCTGGAGAAATGGCTCAGCACTTAAAGAGTGTGTGCACTCTTCCAGAGGACTTGAGGTGGATTCCCATCACCCATGTTGGACAGCTCACAACTGCCTGTAACTATAGCTCCAGAGGATCCAACATCCTTTTCTGGCTTCCACAGGCAGCTGCTCTTATGTGGTAAACATAAACTCACCCAGGTACACCCATATGTACAACAAATAAATAAATCTTTTATAAAAAGGTTAAGAGAAGCAACATGAGCCCAGAAAGGTAAGGAAATTTTGAGGGTCTTTAATACCATGTAAAAGAATGTGGATTCTGCTCTCACCCATCCATTCTACCTTCCCTGCTCATTCTTCAAGGTTATAAACTGTGGCCTTAGCACAGTTTCTCACATTTAAAAAAAACTGAGGATAGAAAAGTGGACAAAGAATATATAATAGAGATTCCACGTGGTCCCATAAAGTCTAAAATACTTCCTATAGGTGATTCTTTATAGAAAATGTTTGTCTAATCCTGCTGTAAGAAACTAAATATATAGAGAGACAGGGTCTCATATACCTAGGCTAGCCTTGAACTTCTGATCCTCCTGCTTCTGCCTCCTAAGTGCTAGGGTGAAAGGAGTGCACCACAAAACCCAGCTTCAACAGGCAGTTTTTAATTTGGCAAAATCGCTAATAAAAGTGTAGATGATGGCTGAGAGAGAGCAACACTCCATCTAAGAAAATCAGTGTAAGGCACTGCTAAATTCAAGAAATAATAATAGTCTGAACTCAAGCAGTGCTAGACAAAATGACAGGAAAGGACCAGAAAAGAAGGAAAATCCTATCCTATCAGAATAGACAAGCTGTGAATCCTTAGCACTGCTTCCAAATTGCTGGCTGCCTCCACCCAGTCTGCACTATTTCTTAATCTCTGTCCCTAGTTATGTCAGCCTTTAGTCAGCTCCCTTCCTCAGCCTAGAATGCTCTTACTTCTCACTCATTCATCCTTTTTTTTCAGTTAAGGCTAGTTACTTCTGATCTCCTTCAACCTACTGTTCCTCTATCCTGAAATTCAGATCTCATTTGCATAGGTACACAGTCATTGAACACTATTCAGCACATACAAGAGAGTATTAACTGTGCTAGACTCTAAGGTACAGTGAGTCCCTTGTCCTCATGGGATATATTTTATGGAGATACTTCTAACTAGATCATGAATTTATACAACCAAGTTAATGAAGTAGCTCAAAGTTATTTAATGGAGGTAACTGTGTGAAAAATCTATCAAATGCTATCCTTCTCTTCATACTTAACTTTAAAAACATTTCACCTTAAAAATAAACATACATTTCATTTCTTCCTAGTCAAAATCAGAGTAATTGTCCATTTATGCAAATTTCTCATGATTTGAACTGGGACTCCAGTTCCAGATCCACCACACTCTTCCCACGTCTAAGAACATCTGCACTAATGTGCACAAACCCAGATACTCAAAGACACACACACATATATGAATTTTTTTTAATTAAAAAAAAACCCACTGTGCTTTATTTTTCTAACATCACTACTCTGTGGCTGGCACAAACATCCAAGTTTGAAAAGGTGTGAGTAAAGAACTATGCAACTTCAACTCGATGTTTCTGATTTGCTGGACACAATCATGGTGGTAAACTCCAATCATTCCAAAGCAAATAAATTTCACATTTTATTTCAACTTGCACAGCTTTAATATAGGTAAACTTTATGCCCCAAATGTTTCTAAAATATACAAATACTTCATATTTACTTAATACACTTTTGAAAAATTGGGTGAATGAGATTCTGCTAAAGGAGACTCATAGGTAAATTCAGGAAATTCTGGATTAAACAAAATTAAACTATTTGTCTTTCATGTGCATTTAACTGCTAATACACATTCTATCTCCAAAAGACCACTCCTAAATCTGCTACCCTCAAGATCTTTTTCCCTGACTGAACACTGTTAATACAGGACACTAATATTTAAGAACTGCTGTACAGAAACAGCTGGTGTTTTCATTAATATTTTAGAGACAGTTACAAAATAAAAAGAATGATTTTTGCAAAAATTTGTGTTCAAAGCTTAACTTCAGGTCTGGGGAGACAGCTGTCAGTGACCTGCTTACTATACAAGTATAAGGACCTGAGTTTAGCTCCTAGGCACAGACGTTAAAAAGTCAGGTTTAGCAGTGTGCCTAGCACTGAAGCAGAGACAACCTCCTCGCTGGGGTGTGCTGAGGATACCTGATAATACCCTCCAGCCTCTACAGGTGCACGCAAATGCACATGTACACACATGAAAGAAGGAAGGCGGTGGGGAGGGAAGGGGGAAAGGGAAATGAAGGGAAGGCAGAGAGGAAGGGAAAGAAAAGTTCAACATTCCTTACCTTTGTAGCTGGTGGGCCATGAGCTTTACTCTGCTGACAGGAATCCCTAAACTCTTTCTAAGAAAGCGGTACTTCTCAAGTTCCCATCTAGCATCTCTAAAGAAAAAGAGAAACAGAAGACAATAAACTTAACACCCTGTGAGATCTGAAGAAACAGCCTCAGAAAATAACTTAATCTTATATATTTTAATGCACATTTTTAAACTTTACCTGGAATTTATGTATATTTTTATATAAAATTAAAGTTTCTTTCAAATGCCTCAGAGATATTCATCCTACAGCCTGCCCCCCACAACGCCCCCAATTCTAAGACGTTACCACCTACTACAGATAAAACAGCATCAAGGATGGAGGTAGGTCAACAGAACCATGGTTAAAAGGAAGAAAATAAAAATTTTACCATCATCATAATAGATGAAATGTTGGAGTCAAATCTAAGCATCAAAAATTTTCAGAGTGGGGGTTGGAGAGATAGCTCAGTGGTTAAGAGCAGGAACTGCCCTTCCAGAGTACCCAAGTTCAGTTCATCGCACCCAATCAGGCAACTCATAATTGCCTGTGAATCCAGCTCCAAGGAGAACCAACACCTCTGACCTCTTCAGTCCCCTGCACACACCCACAAACACATAATTAAAAATCACAAAAATAAACCTTAAAGGTTTTTTTTTTTTCCCTTATACAGAATAGAAACTAATAATTTTTCTTGTGTTGTTGCTACAGATAAAAATCCATGGGCCCCAGTTTATAAGTATTTTACATGGAAACAGCTTGACTTTTTAATACATGCATGTTAGGATGAGATTCACCTGAGAAAACACAAAGGCTTGCATTATTCAGAGTTTAATTATTCCACATCAACACTGGCAGTTCAGAACCATGATCCTCATGAACCCAAGGTTCTTTTACTTTGATGCTGACATCTTCAACATGTCCCTTCCCCTTCAAAGTTTGCAATAACTGCTCAAGTTCTAATCATTACATCTGCCAATAAGACAGCAAGGGAAAGAGAAGATGAGCAATGAATAGCTTCCCTTTAAGGAAACGTTTCAGATCTCAGAGGAAATGTCTACTCACAATCTGTGGGCCACAACTTAGTAACACTTGGCCAAAACTGGCAGGGAGGCCATAATTTCATCATATGCTCAGCTAAAAACTGGAGTATCTATCAGTAAGGAAAAAGAAGGGAATTGGTACTGCAGGACAATTAGTTGTCATCATACTCAATTCATTATAAAATGCAAAGTGGATGGATATGTCATAAAGATACCTTAAAGGTCCTGCCAGTGGCAGAGAAAAACCAACATTCATAGATTTCTCTAAATACTCAAGGCCAGGTGATAAAGAAGGCAAAAATATGAATAACAGAATGGCAATGTAAGAGGAAAGAAAAATAGTTGCGTTTGAGAGAGTAAACTCATAGACAGTCCACAAAACTCAGAAACAAGGCCAGACATGGTGGCACACACCTTTAATCCCAGTTCTGCAAAGGTAGGTGTTCAATGTCAGTCTGTTCTACATAGTGAATTCCAGGTCAGCCAGGGCTACATGAGACCCTGTCTCACACAAATGAACAGACTGACAGAAAGACAAAGAAAAAACTCAGAAATGATTATAAAGGCCTGTTTGAGATCAGCAAGAACTTGGCAGAAAGTTCAACTGCCAACTATGTCAGGAAAAGGTAATTATTTCCATAACATGATGGTCAAGGGGAAAGTAGATGTTCCTCTGTACCCATTACCTTAGGACTGAGCCCCCATTATCAGGCCATGTAAGAATTTGGGAGATTTCCTTATTGCAGACTGTTGGAAAGGGCCAAACTTTACCTTGAATAGGACTGGTTGAAACTTCCTCAGTATGTCTAATATTTTAATTGTGAATATCAGAAACTACAAAGTGTCTCATTTCAAAGCTGGCAAATTTTAAATACAAACTGCTCCTTATAGGAAAAAAAGACTTAAATAGGATATTTACCATACAAATGTACAATGAAGACTATAAACGTAGCAGCAACTCAAAGGACAAGTATCTCTGGAATAATATAAATGCCCATGCATTATGTATAGCTTTAGGTTTTTCTATTTACACATAGATGTTTGTTCTTATTTCAGTAGCTGTTTATAAAAGATTGGGAAATAATCTCAAAAATATTATCCTAAAAAATATCAACATAGACTTCTAGAATTAATATCACTTCGAGCAAAAGGCAATAAGACTAAGCTACCTAGTTACATCTGTCCGATACAACTTGATTTAACCATGAAATGTTTAGATAATCATCTACACTTTGGTAAACATTAAAAATAATGCAAAAACAATGTTTTTTGAAGCTCTAAAGGTACAGCTGTAAGGAATCTCTCCTTTACCATGACCCTACCTATTGTCCATGTACTTCTATTTGGGCGTACTAACCATATACTGTCCTGAGAGAGTTCCATGAGAATGTAGAAAAGAAATCAGTGGGCTGGAGAAATGGCTCAGTTGTTAAGTGAGTGGGGACAGTATCTCCACAGAGAGGTACCAGTACTGTTGACAGCAAGCACTCACTGGAGAATCAAACACTGGCAGAACACAAGGTTCAAGAAAGGCATCGCTGTTAAAGAGGAATCAATCCTTTCTTAGGCATCAACTTAACAGTCTAATGCATCCCAGGGCAATCCTAGGCAGTACAGAGAAAACTAGGCAGGAGTGGGACAGACTTACAAAATCAAAACCTTAACCAGCTCTGTATTAATAAATGTGTATGAAAGTTTCCCAAGGGAGTCTTCAACTTTCCAAATAATCTATTTTCCCTGAATCCTCATTTTCATACCTTTCAAAAACAGAAACACGTCCCCATACTTCTCACTCATCCCAAACTTTATTTGAACACAACGCCCAGGTTTGTAATAATGGATAATCTGAAATATCAGTGTTATTAACCCTCCAGCTGGCATCTTTTCCTCTCTTGTATTTCTGCTAAAGACAAAGCACAGCTTTAGCAATTGTGTCTTGTCCTATGTTCAACAATTTTCTGAATTCAGGTATGATATACAGTTGATAATTGTAGGAATAACTTTCACAAAGAATAATGACTTTCATTTAACAATTACTTCATCCACTCTTGAAATACTACCTGAAAACACACTGTCCTGAGAGAGTGTTCCATGAGAATGAAGAAAAGAAATCAGTGGGTTGGAGAAATGGCTCAGTTGTTAAAGAGCACTAACTGCTCTTGCAGAGGCCCTGGGTTAGGTTCCCAGCACCTACATGGTGGCTAACAACAGTCAGTAACTCCAGTTCCAGCCTTCTTTCTGGCCTGTGGCATTGCATACATGCATGTACTTAACATATACGGAGGCAAAACACACACACAAATATAAAAATAAATGTCCAGCGTTGTGGCACACTCCTTTAATCCCACCACTTGGGAGGCAGAGGCAGAGGCAAAAGCAAGCAGATTTCTGTGAGTTTGAGGCCAGCCTGGTCTATGAAGCAAGTTCCAGGCCAGCTGGGGCTACGAGAGAGACCCTGTCTCAGAAAGACCAAAATTAAATAAACTAAAAATAAAAGATAAAAAGAAAAAGAACCAAGAAAAAAATCAGTGAGAAATTGAGAAGTTAACATTTGTACTTACTATAAAAAGTATGAAACAATCAAAAAAGCATTTTAAACATTAAGATACACTGGATTCAAATAAATTTATGTTGAAGGAATAGAAAGGAAACGAGTTTAATGAATGGAACAATGAACGTTTCTAACTGCTAAAGATGAGTTAATTCATGTTTGATTTCAAAACCAACAGCAACAAAAAAAATTATACTTATTTGGGGCTTGGGTGATGGCTCAGAGGGTAGAGTATTTGCTGTACAAGCAAGAGGACCTGTGGTCAGATCCCCAGCACCCATGTAAAAAGCAAGGAGTGGCAATACTCATCTGTAATCCCAGCAATGGGAGGCAGAAACAGGTGAGTCCCAGGGCTCACTAGATAGGAAGTCTAGCCAAGAGTGAGCTTTGAGTTCAGAGTGAGAGCTTGGCTAAAAAAATAAGGTGGAGAAAAGGTTAAGGAAAATATCCTGATGTCAACCTGCAGATGCACCTGCACAGTGTACCCATTCACACACAGGTGCACACATGCATAAACCACACATATACAAACACATCAAAAAAAGAAAGAAAAAGAATTAGAAGTATTCAGGGGCTACAGGATATGGCTCAGTCAGTAAAAGCATCTACTACACAAGCAGGAGGACAAGAGTTTGATTCCCAGCACTCACATATAAGTCAAGCTAGGCACAGAGATGTTCATTTGTAACCCCAGTGCTGAGTGCGTCAGGGACAGTGGAGCAACAGGCAGATCCATGGAGCTCATTGGTCAGACAGCCTAGTTGAATGGATGAACTCCAGATTCAGTGAGACTGACTCCATCTCAAAAAAACAAGATGGAAGGGAGGCAAGATGGCTAAGTGGGTAAAGACCCTTGCCATATAAGCCTGGTGACTGAGTTTGAACCCTGGAACCACATAAAAGTGGACAGAGAGAACTGACTCCACAAAGTTGTCCCCTGACCTCCACACAAATTCCACGGCATGTGCATACATACACACATATCATGCACATGTGCATGCACACAGTAATAATAAATATTTTTTAAAGGTGGGGAGCAATCCAGGCAAGCACTCAAAGTTAATGTCAGGCCTCCATACACATGTGCACACATGTGAATGCACACCCAGACATGCATACACACACCCTCATGGACATGCAGGTACACCACACATACATATTTTTAAAAATTATCCTGTTTCTCTACCAACTTTGTTGTGCTTCTTGTGGTAAAAAGTCACTTTGACATTCCAAGTGTTTTCCTTGGGTATTAAGGCAAAAAAGTTAAAAAAAAAAGAAAAGAAAAGAAAGATTGAGAAGCACTGTTAAAATATAGACTATGGACCTGAGTAAATACACCTATATCCTTAAAACATATTTATAGCCTTTCTTATCTAGCAAAAAATAAATAAAATTTTTGGGTTGGTGAAATGGTTCAGCAGGTAAAATATTTGTCATGCAAAACTGACAACTTGATTTCGATACCTGGAACCCCCCTAAAGGTGGAAGGATAGAACTGCCTCCACAAAGTTGTCCTCTGACCTCAACAACCAAGTCATGGTCTGGTATGCCCGCACCAACACAAGCACATTATGCACACACACAATAATAACAAGACAAAAATGTAAAACCCTTTTATAATCATTATCAAAATGCCAAAAAGAACAAATATCACAAGATCTACTTTAAAATGAAGACATACTAGTTTTAAGTTTTTCAATGAAAGTACATAAGACATACATAGTACTCATGTTTACAATTATTATTTAATATTTATATAAAATATGTAATTACAACTAGTGATGGTCTTAAAGGTTATAAACTTCCTTAACTTTCTATGATGTTTTACCTTACTATAACTTAACTTTGAGAACCAGAACACAGGAAATGGTTTACAGGATTTTCCCCATAGACATAGAGCTTTATGACCACTACTACTTCTACATTAGAATTCCATACAGGGTTGGTGAGGTGGCTCTTCAGGTAAGTGTTTGCAGAGCTCCATGCTCAGAACCCACATGGTGGGAAGAGAGAACTGATTCCCACAAGTTGTCCTTTGACCTACACAGGCATGCCATGACACATATACACTCCCTATACAAAAAAAAAATAAATGTAATCTAAAAATGAAAATAAATTACATGGGCTAGGTGTGGTGGTACATGCTTTTAATCCCAGCATTGGGAGGCAGAGACTGGTGGATCAATGTGAGTTCAAGGTCAGCCTGGTCTACATAGTGAGTTCCAGGCCATCTGGGGCTACAGGGAGACCCTGTCTCAAAAAGACCAAAATAAATAAATAATATACAGAGAGGCTGGAGATGTACAGTTCAGTAGAAAAGAGCCTGCCTAGCACGAGTAGAAAAACAAGGTGCTAGACAGAGAGGACAGTGGTTAAGACACTTGTTCCTCTTGTAGAGGACTCAGTTCTGTTCCCAACACCTACATGGTGGTTCACAACCATATTAACTCCAGTTCCAGGGGTTCTGACACCCTTTTGTTTCTTTGCAGCCAGCCATTGTACTCACAAAGTGTGCGTACATCCATGCAGGAAAAACACACATAAAAGAAAAATAAGAAAATATAAGTCAGCCTGGTCTCCACAGTGAGTTCCAGGACAGCTGGGGCTACAGGGGGACCCTGTCTCAAAAAGACCAAAAAAAAAAAGAAAAGAAAATATAAATAGTACAGCATCTGAGGCAAATTTTTAGTCTGAAGGCATAGCTGTGAATATAAGATGAACACAAAAAAGTAAAATTAAGCTATGACTATAAAAATACAAGGTGGTGTTTCTAGTGTACAAGTAAATACAAGTAGTATAAAAGTACTTTATGCATTAATGCTTATGCAGTCTAGTTGAATTTGTCAAATTACTTCCATTGAGTTCTAAACAAGGGAGGTTCCAGTAAAAAAATTTGTTTTACATGGAAGACTTTATCTTTCCAAAGGCAGTAAGAGTAATGAAGAGAAAGCAGTATCAGTTCACAGATATAGTTCATATTGGAAGAGTCTGAAAGCAAAAATGAGTGCAAACAGCATGTACAATAGACATGCTTACCTAGTTTAGCTATATAATTGATCAGCAGAGTCCATAAAAATCATTAAAATTCAAGTTTTCAAGAACATAGAAAAGTAGAAAAATTTAGATTTCTTGATTTAATTCTGGTCATGAGATGTTTGATATACAGTATATCATTTTCAAACAATATAGCTTTCAAATTTTAAATACCAATCTAAAGCAATCCTCCAAATATTTGTTAAAGGGGATGATATAATAACCATTTCTACCATTAACTTAGCTTAAACATATTCTCCAAATAAAAAATAAATGTAGGATTCCTGGGTAATATATTTGGTGATAATATAATGCTCCAAATTTAAAGTAAACAGTCTAGTAAGGTTAAAAAAGATTTCCAGGAATGAAAGCATTTTGTACCTTAAATGGAAAACAAAAGTCCCTGAAAGCTCCTTCTTACTGCAAGTTATGATGCAAAAGAACTAAGTTCTAAATTACCACAATATTTAAAAACAACTTTCAAAAAGCAAATTTAAAAAACTTAATGGAAGTAGCATTAGTATAGTATTAGTAGTATTACCATTAGTAGTATAGTGATGCACACACTTAGGAGGTAGAGGCAGAGGCAAGCAGACCTCTGTGAGTTTGAGGCCAGCCTGGTCTAGATAGTGAATTCCAGGCCAATCAGGGCTTCACAGTGAGACCCTGTCTCAAAACAAACAAGCAGCTTAACACAGCTTGTAAACTTGGAAGAGTCTTACAAATTATTTTTAAACCTAAAACCTTAGTTATTATTCAATTATTGACGACTTTAAAGATCCATGAACTGGGGCCGGGAGAGATGGCTCAGCAGTTAAGAGAACTGGCTGCTCTTAAAAAGGAACCTGGTGGGAAGGTTCCCAGCACCCACATGGAAGCTTACAACCTTCTATTAGCTACCGTTCCAGCTGATCTAATGACCTCCATGGGCACTGAACACACAGTGCACTTACATACATGCAGGCAATACAATACACTCATACACATAAAAGTATTTTTTTTAAAGATACATTAACTGTTGTCTTACACAGGAATATCTATATTTTTAGCATAAAAGATGTTCCTATACTTTTGAAAAAAAAGTGTATTGCAGCGGATTCTTCTAGTCGGTTTAGCAATTTTAAATAGAAGACTGCTACTGTGTCTTTATTTCAGGAAACAATCCTCTAGGGTTGATTTTCTAAATAACCTTTTTATAAATAGTCTTACCTTCATAATAACAATACACCAAGACCATTTGGCCACTAAAGAGTATTTCTGGAATGGCTATTACTGACAATAGCAATTCCAGGGGTTAAGGATTTCTTCAGATAGGGCATAAGTGTGCTCCGAGGAACAGTCAAGTGTTTGATTTCAAATACATGTATTACATGCATGAACTGGGAACGTCTTCCTAATTCATAATCCCTAAAGAAACTGAAACTTCCACGATGCAATTTAGGTATTAGTCAACAGGCCTTTAGTTTATGGTGAGTAATCCCTTTTATTCCATCATATTCACGGCAGTTTTACTAGGCCTCCTCAGTTTTAAAACTCCCCACTAGTAAAGACAATTTTATATTATATCTAGATGCATAAAACCAGTCCCCAGCCCCTCCTAGCTTTAGTTCAATGAGCGAGCACCGCGGTCACAAGCGGACACGGACACACACACACACACACACACACACACACAAATTCTCCCTATGGTATTGAAAAAAGGCACAGATCCCAATAGAAGCTCTGCAGTACGTCCATCTAGGTAAAAGATGCGAGAAAATACCAGAACCAACCAGCACCTACACCTCAGCCCCGCCCCACCTGGACAAAGTGGGGGATAGCGGGAGTATGAGGGTGGCAGAAAGGACAGAAAGGGCCTAGACACCCAGCTCCCAGGTTCTCCATACCATAGGTTCCATCGTGTTCCACCGAAGCCAGGGACCCCAGCCCTATTCTCAGGCACGCTTCCCAACCCTCCTTCCCAGCACCAACCCAAACACTGTGCTCCCGATCGCGGGAGTTCTGAGAGGGGAGCCCAGCGTGGGCCCTGTCCTGGCTCAATACCAGGACTGGGGGCGGGGGTCTCCCCGTCTCTGGGCGGATCCGAAGAGCGCCCCCGGGACTTCTCCGGTGACCACACAAGCGGATGATAAATCGGAGGGAGGGGTCTGCGAGGAGCCGTTATTCCTTTCTGCTCAGGCTAGGGAAGGCGCGAAGGACGGGCTGGAACCCCGACCGCGTTACCTAACGGTCCCAGCTCGGGACCAGGCCGCGCCGCCACGGCGGCCCTGCGGGTTGGGGTCCTCGGCAGGGGCGCCCGAGGGATGGGAGGCGGGGGGTGGGGACTACAAGGAGCGACGTCGCCATGTTAGCGCCTTCTTCCTCCGTATCCCCACAGCCCGCGGACCTGCGCCCCTCTCCCCACCACGACTCACCTTTCCAGGTCACTAATTCCTGATCCTTCCTGCCACCTGGAAGCCCAGAGCTCAGCCGTGTTTACAAACCAGCCCTGCAGGAACGGGCAGAATCGCACTTTAAAGGCCAGAGGCTCCCACAGGCTTCCGTCCTCTCTCGCGAGATCCGACTGACAAGCCTTCTCCCCGCCCCACTCCCGGCATCCCAGCTTTCTCCTCGCGCCCAGCCCCTTCACGCTCAGGCCCCTTGCTTTCTGAGTAGGGAGAGCCTGCGGGTCAGGTGACTCAGCGAGGCTCAGGGAGGGGGCGGGGCTTCAGGAGGGCGAGAACCAAAGAACACCCGGACGCTGATGATTGGGCGAAGAGTCCGAAGGGCGGGAAGCAGTTCCGGAAACCGCGGGACCAAAGCGCTCAGGGACCGTTGTTTCCGTAACCAGGGAATTGCGGAAAGCTGTGATTGGCAGCCAGCAGGAGGCCGGGGGCTTGGGTGCGGGCGCAGGTGGCGGCGGAGGCCGCGGCCGGGCGTGGGCGATGTGGGGGAGGAAAGGTGAGCTCGCGAAGGGCTGTGTGTGGCTGAGGAGACCGGCCCTGGCAGTTGGGCATTTCCGTTGCAGTAGCTTTCCGGCTCTCTCAAGGACGGTGGGGAAAACGAAGCGAGGCCGCCCCCAAGCCACCCAGCTGCTACCCGGAAGCCCGAGCTGAGAGCTGCTTAAGGTTTGGGGAGGCGGGCTTGGTCAGTAATTACCACCCCATCACCTCGCCCCATATTTGAACCTAAGAAGCAAAATAAGTCAGTTCTGTGTAAAGACTCTTTTCTCTGAATGGTCTTTGTTCATATTCTACTGAGCTAGAGCTAGAACTGAGTCTTCCATTTTCCCCGCAGCATCAAGTGTGCTATGTGATATTACATGTGTGATATTCGAAAGGTCGAACTAAAAGGAAATACACCGTTCATTATGTCACCAACTTTAAAACAATGCTGTGATACGAGAGAAAAATTCTCATTGTTATGGTATGTACCATTTTGTCAAACTTACTTTGCTTAGCTACAGATTAAAAATACACCATTTTCGGTAGAATCATTTTAATTTTTTTTTTTTTTTTTTGAGACAGGGGTCCCGTGTAACCCCAGCTGGCCTGGAACTTACTATGTAGACCAGGCTGGCCCCGAACTCACATTGATCCGCCAGTCTCTGGGTCCCAAGTGCTGGGATTAAAGGCCTGTGCTACCATACCCCGCTAGAATTGTTTTAATCTTTTAAAACCTAAAATCCATATTAACGTTTTGGACGCCAAGCATGAACGTATTAAAAATAACTCTCCCCACAACAACATCTTCTTGCTTAATAGGTTGTTGCAGTACCAAAGAACTGCCTGTTAGTTTGAAAATAGCTTTTAAAAAACCGGGGGTAAGAAGAAAGATCATTTGATACAGTGTAAGGTGAGAACAAGAGAGGCCTTTCTTTACCAAGGTACAGTTGATCCAGGTACATTCCCAAAAACAATACAGTGCTGAAAATATTTCTAATGTTGCTTTGTAATTCTCTATACAACTTGAAAGTTTTGGTGCTAATTTTAGGGATGTTGTCTAATAATCAGGCAAAACTTTAAAAAGGTGATCAAAGGACTTGTGAAATTTTGCATTAGTTATTCAAAAAACAAGCTTTTTTTCAGTGTCTTTTTCCATTTGTTAAATACTTATTTCTAGTCTGAAGTTATAAAATTTATGTATTTACACTCAGACTCTCCACACCAAAGTAAAACAAAATTGGTAGATGGTTGGGAATAGTATTTGAGAATTAATGAGCCTGAAGGTTAATAATGATATCTGGCATGAAAGTGAAATTGTAATGGCATTGGACCCTTTAATATGGTTCTGGCCTGTGTACATGTATATGAGCTAACTCAATCTTGCTTTAAAATTTAATTACTCGAGAAACCTGAAGTCAGATTATTAAGTGTTCATAGTTAAAATGAAAGTACCATCCTGTAATATCACTAACACTGCAGCAATGTTAGTGTATTTTAACACTATTTAATCAGATTACTGTTTGAAAGGATGATAGATAAAATTGTTAAATGTAGAAAGAAAAGTTTCACTAAAATGGTGCTTTCTCCATTTGATAAAATACCTAATGTGAGAAAAAACTAAAACCGTTAAGGTATTTCAAAAGAACTTTGGGCCACTTAGAATAGTTTGTTTTTCCACTCACTGAAATTCTTGGAGCTGGAAAGATGGCTTAGTGGTTAAGAGCTCTGACTGTTCTTGCAGAGGGCTGGGGTTTGATTCCCAGCACCAACATGGCAGGTAACAACCCTCTGTAACTCCAGTTCCGGGAGATCCACCTGGCTGTTCTGACCTCCAAGGGAATTGCACAACACAGGGGCTGCACTTACAAACCTGAAGCCAATATACTCATACACATAAAAATAAAGTATAAAAATTGAAATTCTTTTCTTCAGATTGATTCATTTTTCTTGCCATTTTCAGCAAATAGGGATCCGATTTGTTTTGAAAATTCAGTTTTAGCTAACTTTTTAAAGCGAAGTTATGCCTAAGCTGAGAGAAAAAGAGATCTGAGGGAAAAATAACAGTGCAAGCAGTGTAATTCTTAATTATGCGTGTTGGCAGGCTGGTAGTAAATAAAGGGTCTGACTTTGCATCTTGTTTTGTAATGATTACTATAGCTTTCCTTCAAAGTCTGGTATTCAGTGTAGTGCTGCTTTCAGTTCCTATCCTGTGAACCTGTAACTATTCTTATCCTAATAAAATTATGTTTTTGCCACTTTTCCTTCCTGGGCTTTCATTCCTCAATATCCCCAACAGTCTTAATGTTCTCTGAAATCTGTGATTTGTAAATGCGGGAAACTTCTTTTGGGTCCCTTGTTTGCTGTTTTATTGTTCCATAAATGTATCCACCTAATTGATTTCTAGGACAATTAGTCTGGAAAATCTTTAAGAACTTGCAGTGGGGGCTGAAAAGATGGCTCAGTGGTTAAGAGCATTTGCTGCTCTATCACGGGGACCAGAATTCAGATCCCAGTACCCACCCATGCTTGGTAGTTCAAGCTCCAAGGGGATCTGACTACTCCTTCTGGCCTTTGAGGGTACTGTATACACACACACACACAAATTTAAAAAGAAATTGATGTGAAATTATGTCAGACTGAACATATACATTTTATTTTATGTGTCTTTTGTTCACTTTACATTTTTCTTGTTTGATGCCTTAATATAAAGGTATTAATCTGCCTGAAATTTCCTTGTATCATCTTTTTTAAAATTTTGTAAATTTATTATTTTTATTTTATGTGTATGCGTGTATTGCCTGCATGTAGGTAAGTGCACCTGTGTCATGCAATGCCCACGGAGGTCAGAAGAGGTTGTGGGATCCTCTGGGACTGGAATTACGGACAGTTATTAGCTGCCATGTGGGTGCTGGGATTTGAACCCAAGTCTTCTGCAAGAATAACCAATGTTCTTAACTGCTGAGCCATCTCTCCAGCCCCCCTTTGTATCCTCTTAAGTGTCTCAGGAACATTCTTTTCTGACAAATATTCCAAATACACAGGACAAAGTATGATGTCTGAGTAAAACTAATACTCCTTATATCTGAGAAGAGAATATTTCTGAAAATTCATATCTATCATGAAAATTCTCCTTACTAAATGCTATGAGAATCAACTCTCAGCTTTAATGCTCTCAAACTTTCCAAAACTCGTGGAATGTGATATTTCAACCTTGTTTAGAAGTGTGATGGGGCTGTTAATCCATTATTGCTCATTTAAATGCTGCTAAAAGATATATATATATATATATATATATATATAATGCACATACATATACATATATGGAAGACGGATATTGATAAAACACAGCTTCTGTATGTCTGTGGCTAGACAAAACATGGAGTCCTCAAGGGCCTCTGTATCTGCCTTGTATGACTAGTTCAAACTCTTGGAAAGAGCTTCCTCCACATTTTCATGGTGCCAGATGAGCCCAATAGAGTGGATTAGCTTGGACTTTGCCAGTGGGATGAAGTGGGATATAGGTGATGGCATGTGAAATGTGAAAGGCATGGAGAAAGCAAGGCATGCCACCTCAACCAGTATCCGCAAGATGAGATGAGGACAGCAACACCCTAGACATTTTAGTCAATTTGAGGGTAGTTTCTATATCATGGCAGATTTTCTTTCCCATCCTCTGACAGTCCAAGGTTTTCCTACTTATTTCTGAAATGATGTGTTTTGTTACCTCCCAGTACCTATCCTCACTATGGAGATTTCTATACAGAGCATTTCAAGTACAGAGATGTCCAAATTCTTGGTTTCTCAAAATAATGGTAACTGATGCTCTGTGACATTATGGGTGAAAATTAGAAGGTTATAGTTATCTTCATTCATACCAGTTACTTATGAGCTCATCTCAGAGAGAGAAAATGAAATTAATGATTTAATTTTTATCTTTAATAACCAACATCTCTTATCTCTCATCTGAGTCACTAGAAGAAGGGATTGTCGTCATATTCTACCTCTTAAGTTGTCAGTAAAAGTAGATGGGACTATTTCTTGATTAGTTTGATCTAGATTCCGATATCTGCTCTTCATGGTTCCCCACAAGTCTATGTGTTAACCTAAGGCCTACATAATATGAAGAAAGCCATGGGTTCCTCATGCCGAAACTGAGGGAAGTCTCTCCTCCCATATCGACTCATCCAGATCTTTAGACTAACGTACTTCTCGTTCCAGTGGCTTTCTTACCTTGGACATAACCTTTTATGTCACCTGTCAACCAAATTCCCTAGCTCTTTACTCATCCAGCATCAATACTTTGTAAGCATGGACATTCCAGGCACTGCTCCTGGCTGAGACTACAATTACAGGGAAACATACCTTATGGTGGGGGTGCACTAAATAAGATTTTTTTTCAGAAGATTTAAATAGCATTAAGTACTACGGTGAAAATAGAGCAGAGGTGTTATAAATGCAATATTGTAAATTCTTTTTTTTTTTTTGAAGGACAATTTTTAAATTTTATTTATTTACAGAAAACTCAGCTGCGTACATTTAACCCAGTTTGGTGGTGAGTTCTTTGATCTTTGCCTCTTCCAGCTTGGCAATGCGAGCCACAGATTTTGAACCCAGGACATTGCCTCCCCAGTGACAGCAGATCTCATCATATCTGTCATTGTAATTGGTCCAGATCACTTCCACCAGCTTAATCAGAGTGTCT